TTTCATTCTAAAATGCTGCTGCTCCGTGTTAGTGTGAATGAGGATAATAGAGACATGTGAAAACGGAGACGTAGCTGCAGATATTCAGAGACATCTGATTGGGGCTAAGTAGCCTACACAGTTCTGTCTTGCATCCTTTCCTTTTAAGTGCAGACTTTACAAGTTTGATATGAAAAACAAACTCTAAAGGTCACGTTCGGTAAATCTTCAAAGAGAACAGTGTAGACTACTTTATAACGTTATTCGCACCATCCTGGCTACGTTGTTTCACTTTCTTTACAATAAAATCAAAACATGATATAAGGAACAGTCAATTTTAATTTTGATATTAACAACTTAACAGACACCAAACATGTTGAGGCATCGTGTAGCTCCACATTCATTTGACTGTCATCTTAACTGTAAGCAAATTTATAACAAAACGGAGCCTAACATACCTGCCTCCTTTCATTTTCATGTCTCTTTTGCTGTTTTAATAACCAATAATAGCAATTTAAAAAAAGAACAAGTAATAGATTCAGAAGACCAAACTTGGAGAATATCAATAGAAATAGACAACAAGATGAATTAAATATCACATTTAACAAATATAATGAGATTAGATCCAGCAGTAGATCCTTGATGAACAGTCACATACACAGCTCTCAACTGGTGAGGTGTGCTCTCAGCACCCAGTGACTCCCTAGAGCTCAGACGCACGCATAGGCTGCAGTGCATGCCAAAAGTGTGTGTGGTCATGTGATGTGCGTAAACAAGGCCCAATTCTCTGAACAAAGTCTTTAAATCAGGGATGCTCAAAGTAGGGCACGTAGTCCAAAGGTGGCCCATGGTAACCTTTGATTTGGCCCGTCATTCCATCTAAGAAGAAATTTAGGGTGCTTTCACACTTGCCTGGACCCTACCCAAGTTCAATTGTCCCCCCTTGCCACCTCCTTGGTTGGTTTGTTCACACTGTTTTTTTTCCTTCTGAACCCTGGTACGCTTGCGTTATCGATCTGCTGTTCTCTTCACGGCCGTTGCTAGATGACGGTCACGAAAGCAAGCACCGAAGTGGAAAGACGTCCGCACATGGCGATCATTCAGCTTTTGGTTTTGGACATACTGTACAGAAAGCGACTCGCGTCCATCTGCTGCAAAAATATTATAAACATTCAGATCATCACACAGTGTCTGAAGAAGCTGTTTTGAAGGAGACAAGCAGACATCACTGTGTATCACTGTGTTTGCCCTGGCTCAGTCCCGCGCATGTCACCAAGGTACGAACCACGACACAGACACACACACATGAACGAATTAACCTTATGAAAACGATAGTTTGTTGTACAGTTGGCGGTTCACTTTGGTTATTTGGTATGACTGCATTCACATTAGAAGTGAACCGTACCAGATTTCGCATGAACCATACACCAGACCACCTCTTTCAGGCAGACTCGGGTATGGTTCACGGGTGCGCACCCAAGTTCAGAAGACATGTTTACACTAGCTAAACCTACCGTACTATGACGTCAAACAAACCCGGGTATGGACCAAAAGTGCTAGTGTGAAAGCACCCTTAGAATGACGATTGCTGCAAATGCCATCAACATAGATCATCGTTTCTAATTTACGTAAACTTTTGTTTGTTTATTTGTTTGTTTAATTGTTGAGCTACAAAAAAACACTGACTGAAATGAAATGTTTCAATTAAATGTTGTGCATGAATTCATTTTAATAAATGTAAATACTGTCACTTGAAGATAGAGGACAATACAGAAGACATTGATGAGCAAATCAAGGCAAAGGCAGGTGCAGCTTGACTTGTGTATTCATCATTAATTACCACTGGGCTCTAAATGTGTTTGCTTTATTGTAAGAATTTCATTTTAAAATGTACAAAAAAAAAAATTATTATTTATATGATTGAAGTATTTTTTTTCTATTTATATTTCAATATCAATACATTAGGAAATTACCATAGCACCTTTAATGTAATAGTTTGGTATAATAACCTTCGACCAACCCCCCTCAATCAGATTTGGTTTTTGGCCCTTCATAAAAAAAGGTTTGGGTACCCCTGCTTTAAATGATGAATAGACCAAGTCAGTCTACACAAGAAGCGTAAATTGGTACTATATTGGTATTAGCAGATATTATCTTGCACTTAGCTCAAAGATAGGTGTGATCAAGGATCTAGAAACTGAGCTGCAAACAAAAAACACAAGTGCCTAAATGTCCACACAAAAGAAGATAAAGTCAAGAAGTTTGATGATACAGTTAGTGTCATCAGACAGACAGCATGATACTACTGAGAGTACATTTACAATGAACAATATACAAAGTTTCCTCATTAAATAATGTTGCATTAAGATTAAATTTACCTGTTTCCATTAGGGGTTTGGATAAAACTATTGCAAAATAACAGTTTCCCTATTAATCAGTTTCAATCAAATAAAATGTGATTTTCTTCCTCTCCCAATAATGATGGTAAAAATCATGATGATAATTTTGACTGATTTACATATATTGCAGCAATCAAACTTGCATTATTATTTTATTTTTTAACTACTCTGGACACCTGCGGCGCAGTTGCACTATATGTCAGCACACTGACAAGGCTATCTGTGCTGACCTAGCTATTATATTTTTTCAGAGCAAATGTAGGAGTGTTGACCAACCATTAACGGCAAGGAAAACAGTTAGACTGTGATGCATGAGTGCACTTTCATGAGCACAGCCATTTACAAACATTTGAAATATTTCCTTTAGTTTCCAAGAGAAGAAAAAATTTGCATACCAATGTCATATACACCCAAAATTGTTTCAAATGTTTGATCCAACCTCTCATTCTTATGTATTTTCCAGTTTTTAGAGTCCCTAGGGCTTTGCACATGTGCACTTTAAAATAGCCCTGGCTGAATATTTTTAGCCTGTAGTTTTTCAGAATAAGCAACTGCCTGTCACAGTTCTCCCCTGGAGTTCGAATGGTTTTGAACCTAATCTTAGCATGACCGTTCTGTCAGCAAATGGGCCTGACAAAAATAGAGTAAGTTATAAATTGGTCTTCATACAGAGGATAAGGTTATCTCTCGAGGAAACCAACAAAATGTGCTAAAAAAAGGACCAGCAGAATAGAAAAACAATTGGTCAACATACTTTGTTCTGAATGGCATGGTAGAATGTTACCTAACCATGTTGTTGCAAATTAAATTGTTACATTTGTTTTCATCTGCACAAATAAATTCCAATATGTGCTTTTATAATTCATTCAGTAGCAAGTCGAAACAGAATCCACACCCATGTTTGTACATTTTATACTGGCTAATTTAGCTATGACTGTGACAACTCTAAATTTCATTTGACACTTTTTGCTCAGTGTATCTCTATTTAGCCACCCCAAAAATCATTACAAACAATCCAAAATGAACTGTAGAATATGTTTGGACAAGCCCAGTGGACTGTTTAGAATATCATATGTGTATTACATTAGCCAAGACATAGACAGTAATAAAGATTATTTAAATTTTGATTTCCACAATACAATGAGCTAATTCCTATTGTGGATTTAGCACTCATAAAATTAAATAGACAATGGTATGGCAACAGTTTAGTGTGGAATAATGTTTCTTTTACTTACTACTTTTTTGTACATGTACATATATGCCCCTGATCACTCAGTAAATTAACTTAAGATGGTGGAACGATAGTACACATAGTGTTGTGAATTGTTTCTCAGGGGTAACAGATTATAGCTGCGCCTGAAATTACACACTACTTGAGGTACGACATTTGGTTTTGAATTTATTTTATGACCACTGAAAAGTTTGTTTTATGTATATAGTATAAATACGAGTCGTGGGAATGGAATATTTATGCACTAAATCTGGCCTGTTGTCATTACCATGATGCATGAGTTGCATTGCTTGACTCAGAATTTATTAATTCTCTTGCATTGACATTTTATACACACTACAAAATCTTGCCAAAACTATACAGGTCATTTCGGGTACTTCTCACCAACTGTTTTTTGAATAGTATGAATTCAAACACACTAGTACTCAGGACACATACTGTTTTTCACATTCTATAGGAGTATGCAGTTGTGGACGTGGCCTAAGTTCCAATTTTAACAGAATGCTTCATTAAGTCACCAAGACTCAAAGTGGTCAGTACATTATTTTATGCAGTGCATCATTTGGGACAACCAAATTTCAGAATCCATCATGGAATCATTTGCTTATGATAGATTATGGTGAACAGATTTTGTAGCCATATACGGTAGCATTCAGATTTCAGTAGTGAGCTTACTTTTTCAATGTTTTAGTTTGTTTAATTTAATATAATAATTATTATTTTAATAACATAAAAATCATTAGGCTGAAGTTGAAGTTTATTGCATCAATTATTTTAAGTTTTTTTTATTGTGCAACAAAACTGCACAGACAAGTTAAGATGTGTTTTTATAATTAATGCTGTTATTTAATGTAATTTATATATTATGAATTGTAAGTACATCATGCACTTTAATGTGGGCTTATTATTTAGGAATGTACAACACAGGGAATTGTGCCATACCCTAGATTTTGTAAAATGCCCCCACTTTTTTTCAACATTTTTTTCTGTATTTTACTGTACCTAGCTGACCTTTTCAGAGAGATAAGCATTGATAGCCTACCAAGTTTACAAAAAAATCATAGTTAAACTATGGTTAGAGTAGCAAAACCAGGTAAACTTGTGGTTTTTAACTACAATAACAATATTTTAAAGGTTTTATTTTTTAGCAAAGTCGTAATTTATTTCTTAAGGGGTGAATTTGTAATAAATATTGCATATGTTACCTTGTAGAACGCATATAATATATTGTGTAATATGCTGTTTTAACCATATAGTTGGTTGTTCGCAGTCACCAACAGTAATATATATTTAGATACCTTTGATTTCTGCTTCAGTACTTCTCTCCTCGTATCCTTCACTCGTTGTCAACACGAAAATAGCCGGAAAAAGCCGAGCCCGTTGCATTCTGGGAAAAAGGAAGACTGAAGGCGGTCGCCATATTGTTTTATTCCGCAGATTCACTGGAGCAGAAAGCAACAAACACTTCTATTAAACGAGGTTATATCAAGCAATTCTACGTTTAACCAACGCACAGCGTTGCATGAAGTTGTCGCAGACCGTGCTGCATTCATAAAAACCCTTCTTAGCGCGTCAATCAGATTTAGTTGTGCAAAATATGGGACGCTCAAGGAGCCGCAGCTCGTCCCGGTCCAAACACTCAAAACACAGCCGCAAACGGAGCCGCTCCAAATCCAAATCTAAGAAAAGGAGCAGGTCGAAGGAGCCAAAGAGGAACAGACGGTCCCGCTCAAGATCCGGCAGCAGGAGGGACAGAGGAGGCTCACCGCCCGACCGAACAGACATGTTCGGCCGGACACTGAGCAAGAGAAACAACGACGAAAAACAGAAGAGAGAAGAGGAGGACAGGAGAGTAGAGATTGAGAGGCAGAGGAAGATGTAAGACTATTCACGTTTGTCATGTATATGAAACGAAGACCGCTTAATGTAAAAAGAAAATGCATTGTGCCAATAGCAATACTAAGATCAATGTAGTTGTTTGGAACCTCTTTTCTTTGGGATGACAAAAAAGTCCACAATTTTGAATTGTCATTCGTATTTCCAGTCTGTTTTGGTGGGTAATTGCATCATATATATATATATATATATATATATATATATAAATATATATATATATATATATATATATATATATATATATATATGTGTGTGTGTGTGTGTGTGTGTGTGTGTGTGTGTGTGTGTGTGTATGTATGTATGTATGTATGTATGTATGTATGTATATATATATATATATATATACATACATATATATATATATATATATATATATATATATATATATATATATATATATATCTTACATGATGCAATTACCCTCCAAGACAGACTAAAAATACAAATATATATGTGCAATACAATTTAAAACTAACAGACAGACCATGAATCAATCAATTTCTGTTGTAATGAAATTAATGAAAGCAACAGGATTGGCATATTTAGAGGACTTGACCACAGTGACATGGATGACATGTTACTCATGTCAAAACTAAAAAGCTATGGAAAAATAACAGGAATGAAATGCACCATTATTTTAATGAACATAACAGGGCTGACAAGACATTGAGAACACTGATAAAATGATTTGTATTTTATAAAAGGATTTAGACTTCTGCTACAAACATTGCTCATCAGAAAGGTATACATAGAATAATGTATTCTACATACATACAATATTGCAGATGTAATATTTGTATTATATACTAACTTAAACCAACACAGAGCGTTACATGAAGTTGTTGCAAACAGTGCTGCATTCATAAAATCAAATCGCATTTATTTGTGCAAAATATGGGACATGCAAGGACCCGAGGTTGTCCTGGTCTAAACCTTTAAAACACAGCCACAAAAGGAGGGAATACTTAGAATTTGGGTACCCAAACTCTTTTCTGAAGTGCCTGTGTCCTGCAAAGTTTAATTTTAACTCCATTAAGAAACATCTACACCTGGGTTAGCTAATCAAGCTCTTAAGCTGTGGTCACACGGCTCTTTTCTCCCCATAGACTTCCATTCATATGCACACGAATGCGTCAGACCGAAAATGTAAGCTTGTGTGACAAGTTTTCGCAGTTCGCTGCGTTGGAAAGTTCAAGCTTGGTGAACTCTGACCTGCAAAATCACATCACATGATTGCGTGAAATCTATCAAAGATCAAAACATGACCTCTTTGGACAGAAATGTAAAACTAATCGCTCTATTAATGTCTAATCATTTTGTTTATTCCCGCCCCTTTTCGCAGCGCCGTACAACAGAATTTTGCATGCTCAAACTATAGTGTGACCGCAGCATTACTAGGCTTTCTAGAAACATCAGTTCAGGTGTGTTGATGCAAGTTAGAACTAAAATCTGCAGGACACCAGCCCTCCAGGACTGAGTTTAGGCATTCCTGACTTAGAACAATATGCAAAATTGCATATTGCAAATGTAATATTTGTATACCATACCTTTATCAGCATACATATATACTTATTTAAATCTCAAATGTGTGTGTTGCAATTCTGTCTGATTATTTCCTTGTGAAACAAAAGGCACAGATTTTCTGCAATAACCATGTAACCGCTGTATTATATGGCCATATGTATAAGTAGACCACACAATCAATTCAGTTACATTTCAAGAAGTCAGACTGTTTAATATTGATAAGAAGCTAATATATTCAGCTAGTGACCAAAAAAAGTGACGTTTCATATTACCTACCTGTATTCAGGGAACTTTCATCACTCTGTGGACTCTCATAGTCAGCTGTCACACATCAGGTCATCTTATCACTGAGATCTGCTGCCCATGTTAGCTGATATGTCTTTGTAACCATTACAGATCGTTGACATGTCTCTTTTATGATTGGAGACCACCGGTATAATGTTAAGAGGTTTGTGGGAGAGAAGGGAAAATGGGGAGAATGTAGTGAAAGAACAGGAAGAGAAGTGAAGCAGCCCCAGGCTTCATCTTCACCCCGAGTACATTGTAAACGAATTTAGGGTGTTTTAAAATTCAAAGAGAGACCCTGGATCGAGTTTCATGACACTGAAATCAAATCAACAGATTGGTAGATTTTGTTTTGTTTTGGCTCTGGGCAATGTTATGGTCACTTGATTCAGTATTGTGTCTGTGTTTTTGTGTTGCTGCTTAAGGCCAGGTGTGACAGCTTGCTCTGCTTAATGGTTTACTCATGCTTAAAGTGTAAATAAAGCTGAAACATGCTTTTGTAATCAGGAATCCTTTTGACTGACAGACTTTGCGTTATGGGTTTATAATTTCTTAGTATGCGCAACATGTTTTGTTTCAGAATTGTGCAGATCTCACAGGTCAACCCTACCAGTATCAGCTTCCTCCTCAGGGCTCAGTACTTTTGTGCAATGCAGATTGTAATGTTTGTGACATTCGATTGTGAAATTTTTGATAGCCTTTTAAGCTATGTACAGGATGTCAATCCAGCTAAGCCTAATGCAAATCGGGGTTATTAAAGTCAACTAAATCCATAAAATGATTTTGAAATATGTTTATGTGTAAATAATTTGTATTATAATATGTTTAATATGTAAATAAAAAAAATTGTATATTATATACAAAACCTACAGGCGTTTTTCAGTATATAGTGCTTGTTTTTATGACTATCCTGGGGTCTCGTTTATAAATGTGGCATGAAGCAAAAGTTTTAAAAACCGTTAAATATTTAAAACTTTAAATCATCATATAAGCCATGATCATTGAGAAGTAATTTTTTTTTCTGTGTGTGTAATTTCCAGCTTTTATTAAAAAAAATATTTTGTAAAGAAATTATATGTTGAAATTTAGTAAATTTTTCTCTTTTGAAAAAAAAAAAAACACAAAACAAATTTTATTTTAAGTATAAATAAATTAAATGTGTAAATTTAATCAAATGTATTGGGGAAAAAAAACATCAAATAGCAGAATTTCCCCACATTTTAATCTGTTCATGGTAAATAATTAAAATACTCATTAATATAACATTTATAATTTGTATAATTGAAAATTAAATTGTTAAATCAAGTAATGTTATCTTTCTGGTATCCTCCACAGCCGTCAGCAGGAGATCGAGGAGCGTCTGATCGAGGAGGAGACGGCCAGGCGTGTGGAGGAGCTTGTGGCGCGACGAGTGGAGGAGGAACTGGAGAAGCGGCGTGATGAGATTGAACATGAGGTCTTACGGCGAGTGGAGGAGGCCAAACGCATCATGGAAGCACAGCTTTTGCAGGAGCTAGAGAGGCAGAGGCAGGCTGAACTGAACGCCCAGAAAGCCAGAGAGGTAACGCTCGGTCGTTCGGAACACAGCGGATCTCAGCCGCAAACCACACGCCCACAGCCGTGCCACAACCTGACACTTGTTTACCCCCGAGACACTGCAGGACCAGCAGGGTAGATGCATTTGAGTAGATTAATAGAGACTAGGCAGTGAAAGTAAATAGTAATGCTTATTTCTTTAAACACATTTATGATATTTTGAGCAGACTGGTTAAGCTGTTGTTTAGGAAATGCTAATATTTAGTTTATTTCTGTAATTAAAAATAACACAGACAGAATATTGAAGGTCCAAAAGTGACTGTTCACCTAATTTACTTATAGTTTACTTTAAACATCTGCAGTTTCTGATTTATTAGTGAAAAACACCTCATACTATGGATGCAATTAATGACAACCTTTCAAAATAAAGTTCAAATAGTAGGATGCTCCAATCGGGTCTTTTTCCAGTCGATACAGAGTACCGGTTCCTTGTCATGGTGATCGGTCGATACTGAGCACTGATTCTGATGCTTCAAGCTTTATAATGCATCAAGCATTTTCAGTTTTAAGCATGATACTTAAGTGGAGATCTTGCCTTACCTCAGAGAATAAATTAAAGATGTTGCATATAATTCCTTAAATATTAGAAGCAACTTTACAGAACAAAATAGATAAAACATTTTAAAAATGTCAAGAAAAATCACTGATAAAGCAATTTGGAAACATTGCAAATCATGGAAGAACAACTCAACATGTCTCGGAAGTTTGGAGGGCATTTGTTAAAAAGCACACCTATAAATCCATTACTTCTTTTCTAAGAGGAAATAAACTAAAACTGGTCCATAAACTACGGTTTATTACAAAGCATATATTACTATAATTTTTATTATTAAATGTTCAAGTAAAAAATTACTATTTTTTAATATCCCTTGTATTTCCTGCCAGGATTAAATGAACTTAGAATATAGGTGAGAACGCAAAAAATACATTTCTGATATTTCAGTTCTTATGTGTCCTCTGCTTGTAAACTCAGAAACAAACAATTGTGATCAGTTCATGAGATCGCCCAGATTAGTGATTATCGGCCGATGCAGATTGGTCAGAGCATTCCTATAAATTATGACAGAAAAACGACTAAACTTTGAATAAATAGTTTTTAATTGGACAACAATTGGACATTTTCTTTGTTACTAAAATTTAATTTAGATATTGAAATGCAATTCAAAGAAACTGAAAAGAAAATTTCATGCAGTTTGGGGCGTGATTTTATTGGTTGCTTAAATAAGGGGATTTTATGATTGAGACTTATGCCGAGTTCAGACTGCATGATTTTCAAAGTAGTCGTGTCACAGATGTTTTCACACTGCATGACTATCTGGGCTAGTGTTTTGTCACTGCTTTGTTTAAACTGCAAGATGGATCGGCGACAGGGGCTTTCACATTGCATGACTTTACAATAGGAAGAATCGCCGACAACTTCGTCCAAACTACGTCTCACAGCCAAAAACACATAGTATATCTTTTGTTGTTAACTACATAACGAGAAAGATGCCTTAAATGGGGTAGAAAATGTACTTATTTGTTCACCTGGGTTTGAAGGGAATTAGCAATTTCTCCTCTACTTTCTTTAACTTTATGTATGAAACGTCAAACAGACACGGGTGCTCCTGTCAAACCTCCACTCGTTTTCCTCCATTTCTTGGGTCCAAATAAACTGAAAAGGAGCAATTTTAACTTCTCCCCCTGCCTCCCGCTGGCCAGCAGGTACACACTAACAAGTAAATGCTGCTCTCTCATTGGCTGAAGGTGATCGCCGATGATATTTCAGTCAAAACTCATTTCACACATTAGGATTTGAATCGCAGACGGCTCCAGATATTTAGCATGCCAAATATCTCCCAGGCATCAGCGACTCATTGATGATTCTCTCAGATCGCGTCTTTGATAGTTCAAACTGTGTGATTGTCACTCACGTGCACAAGCATCGATTTGCCTGATATCAGGCATTTCTCTGCGATTTCTCAAAACCTGTCGGCGAGTCAAATTCGGGGCTAAAATCATGCAGTCTGAACTAGGCATTAGTTTACTCTGCACAGAAAAGCTCTGTACTTTATTTCCTAATACTTCAATGTGACTTGACTGAATCAAACGCACCTCAAGTGCCCTCTTGGGGGTTTCAAGTGAATGTTTTGCCACGGCTGTGATAGACCAGTATTACGTTTCTCATCTTTTTCTTTTCCTTTTTATTTCCTACCCCTACCCTGCTCCTTTTTTACTCCTATCTTTTATAAGTTTACTGTCACCTATGTATGGAACTGTTTGTCTTCAATAAAACGCTTTTGTTAAAAAGGTCACTCTGCGTTCAAACCAGGCCTGTTTTTGTTCATGAGCTGTCAGTGTGAACATCCGCCATTATACACCTTGAGAGGTCAAGACATAATGCTGTTTCGGATGTTCCAAACACACAAGACCTTTTGAGGCCACCAGACCGCACATAAACTTGTTAATTTGCTTAATCCATAGCTTGTAATTCCACCCATACCGTAAAGGAGGGTTACTGTACTGTAATTGTAAAGACGCAATGAGTTATGAACGGGAAACTAATTCCCTTCCACAAGCACACACAAAATCCAGCGGCTCAGCACTAATAGGGTTAGAAATGTGCCCTCCTTCTGTACGTTTCAGATTTGTGCCCATCATCTGTAGCCCTGGTACTGAACCATTAAATGAATCTGTGTTATTGTAGATTTAGCGTTTGCACATTTTAGCCTCATTTGCAACATTAATCACGAAACGCTCCACTCTTGCTATTGCTGCTCCTCCATTGCTGTCTTTTGTGTTTTATATTGATTTATTTTTGTAACTTCACTTTCCTTTGACTCTTCCGTTCTTCTGACGTCATTAAAAGTGCAGTGTTTTAAATGTACTTTTGTGTCTTCACGATTTGCTTTTCCTCAGGAGTGCTGGCATACGGGTACACATACACACACATGCAAACACACACACAAACAACACCACACACACAAGCCACTGAGCTTAGACGCCAACACATCACTGTTTTTGTTTTCAGACCAACACCTCTAACAATTGATCCCACCTTTGTGTTTTTACAGTCTTTAACATCGTTTAACATTAATAGCCTGACGTCCCCACACGGTAATGTTGTATGATTAACATAATTCCTTTTCCTGGACTTTGCTATATATACTGCATGTGGTGTTGCTGTGTAAGAGCACTAGCTCGTGCTAGCAGCTCAGAGATTTTTAAAGGGGAGGTGCTGCGCTGTCCAGGACGGGACACACGGGACCAGGCAGTAAATACTCACCCCCTTTAATCAGCAGTTGTGTAGGTACAGTACACAGTCAAAGGAGAAAGGCGTAGGTATACGAGCATCGGTGAGCCACTACTATTCACTCTCTCCTTTATTTGAGTTAATCTTTCTTTGTCTCTCTCATTTTCTTTTTGAAACTTCTTGCTTATGGATGCTGATAGTAAAAAAAAAAGAATAAAAATAAAGAGAGAGATGTAACGAGATGATTTTATTATATTTTTATCTCTTTTTTTTTCCTTTCTCATCTGCAAACGAATGAGATTCTGCGATAGTTGTCGATGTGTTGTCTTTACATACCTGTTGTGTATGGATGTTAATGAATGTGTAAATAATTGTTTGGATGTCTAAATATTGTGGCGGGGATAAAGGTGTGACTGAATACATCCGTGGGTGGGTTTTTTTGCTCATTGTTGCATACATAGAGGTTAGCTTCAGACTTTTGAATCTGCAGATCGAAATGTGGAGAGCGGGTGAAAGAGTGTGTGAGTGTAGCTGTGTACCTGTTTGTGCAAGTGTAGACATGTTTGAGTGTGCAACGTGAGTTTATGGGGACTTCTTTCATTGGATGTGTTTGCCCTTGCTAACATGTCACCATGTCTCCCCTTTAGGAGGAAGAGAAATCCAAACGAGTGGAGCTCGAGAGAATTTTGGAAGAAAACAACCGAAAGATTGCTGATGCTCAGGCTAAACTGGTACTTTTTCCCCACTTTTTTTAACAAAACATATGAGTTATTCTAGAGGACAGGAAAAAATATCCAGGACAATAAGCTACACAATTATGTCCAAAATCATTCACAAAAGCAGTATTATTTCAAAATAAAACAAAAAATCTTATATCACAGGAGAAAGTTTTAAGTCATGGCATTGAAATTTTAAATTCAATGCAAAATAAATCAACAGGATGAAAAAAAAAAAGTAATTAAATTTTTTTTTAAATATATTGAAGGAACCTCTTCAAATTAAGATGCATAAAATTGAAAACATAATAATTTGAACCGAAGACTATGAATGATTTCATTCAAATTTAATGCATCTTGATTTATGAATCGTTGATATTTCTAATGGAATAAAATAAAACAACTGATAACCGCAGTGTGGTTTATGAGTTACAATGAAATTTTCAAAGTTAATATAATGGACCACAGTTAGTGAAGCATAAGCATTTAAATGTCTGCTCCCTATAAATTATCCTTAAGAACATTTTGTCTTATTGTTTTCTTCAAAGGTCTTCGTTACCTTCATAAAATTGGCAAAAAAAAAAAACTGCAACCTGATGATACTTGGATGGAACTTTAATACAAATTTCACACATTCCTAACCCCAAATGTACTTATTTAGTTACCTAAAAGCATGGATTTTAAATGTAACATTTTCAATTTTGAGTGTTTGTGGGTCAGCAAATTATCATTCTGTTTTCTTTACAAAAGACCTTGAATTTCCTTAATAATCAATTAAATAAGAAAAAAATTTAAAAGGAATTAGTGATGAATTAGTCTTCTGGGTATTAATGTCAGGCCTGCAGTCCTGAAATATTTGTTATGCTGGTAAAAGTCATAGTAGCTCGTAATATGCAGGGTTCCACACAGTTCTTTCATGTTGTCCCAATACAATTTGATTGTTAATTCAATCGTTTATACAAATTGAAGTGGATTGAACATAAACCAGTTAAGTTGTCCCCAAAAAAACCTTAAGAAATGTGTTATTTCAACTCATTTTAAATATGTAGTTTAAACAAGCAGCAAAAAAATGTTTAGAGTGTGAGATGTCTTTGAAATCCCTGTAATAGTTAATAGTTCTTTGATCATTCTGTGAGAAATCATATTGGCTAAATACCCGGTTAAGCTGCAATAATCATGGAAATTAGTTCATCAAAAAGGCTCCATTGCAGAAAACAAGACAGTGGATTAAGAGTTAAAGCCTCTTGAGGAGTTATTTTTCCTTAACTTTATTGGTGATTCTTCTGTTTTTGTGTTTATACTTTCCAAGGTCGTTAGAATTACGGGTTGTCTTTTACCATAAAGTAGCTGTTCTCCCCATCTGTTTGAGTTATTTAGATGTTTATCACTGTTAAGTCATTGTGAAGACTGAAGTGTTTTTTCCAGCTTACATAGTGGTAGAAGAACCTGCCCTGACTGAAATTTTTAGTCTAAGGTTTCCATATGGATTACTGGAAGCACTATTGTAGTTAATTAAAGTGCAACTTTATATATTAGTTTTCAAAGAAAACTGTTTTTAATGCTTGAAAAAGTCACTTTTGCTCATGTGTTGTTTTGTTTTTTTCAACAGGCTGAGGATCAGCTACGTATAGTAGAAGAACAAAGGAAAATCCATGAGGAACGCATGAAGCTTGAACAGGAGAGGCAGAAACAACAGAAAGAGGAACAGAAGATGATATTGGGGAAGGGCAAGTCCCGACCTCGTCTCTCCTTCTCTCTCAAAGCTACAGAGTGATTTCTCTTCTCTTCTCTTCTCTTCTCTTCTCTTCTCTTCTCTTCTCTTCTCTTCTCTTCTCTTCTCTTCTCTTCGGATGTGAGCTTCATGTTGAAGTGAATCAGAGTCTCAAAGAGAGTTCTGCCCTGTGTGCTCTGCCCTCAAGAATTGCCCTTCATAATCCCAGGAATTCAAAAAAGAAAAAAAACATTTGGTCCTCATGCTTCAAAATCGGACTTGCAGCAGCACCACCACAGACTTTCAAATTGGCTGCCATCATTTGCAATTCTTCAATGTATTATATTGATATTTGACACCGTTATGCTGAAGGCACATTTAAAAAAACAGAAAAAAAAAAAAAAAAACAGGGCAATTTTCCCTTTTAATGGCAAGCAAATAAGAACGGAAAAAGTGTAAATATATTTGTGTGTGTGTGCGTGGTTGCTTGGTCAAAATATATCAGTGGTTTGGGAGCTCTGTTGGTTCAACCTCAATTATTTAACTACTGTTCTAGCATTCTGAGCGGAAGTACACCAACGTGTTTTAAGAAATGTACATTAGCAGGCTTTTGGTTTTGTTTATTTGTGAACGTTTGTGCAGGAGTGCGAGCGCTTTTCATGTTTTTTTAGACTGCGGATTGAACCCCTGAAACCATTGAGTTTCTAAAATGCTGCTTAACACTTTGTTCCCATAATCACCTGATCGGAGCTGCATTTCTAGCATTGTAACCTAGATCATATTTGACCTTTTTTGATACATCTTATTTAAAGGACCCATTTTTAAAAACAGAATGAAAAAAAAAAACTGAAAGATATGAGTGATAATAACTTTCACAATACAAACATTACAGTGATTAAAAAAGGTTACAATGTTACAAAGCCATGTAATGTGTCTAGTGCTCTGTTGGTACCTTAAGGAAAGCGGGAATCACAGGTAAGACTAGTTAGGGTGTGTATGTGAGCGAGTTTGTGTGGGTGTATGAGTGTATGCTAGAGGGTGTTCTTGTCATGTGGTAAATTACCCCTCTCCTTGTGAACTGGGACATTTAGTGTGTTGACCAATAAACCCCATGAACACGACACACTGCCTGAATCATGTCTTTTGTTCTCTTGGTGAACCGCAGAGTTTGTCTGCTCTGACAAACTCTGATATTCTCTTATGGGAATAACTGCTCTCTTGCTTAATTTAAGACTTTATTTAATCCTACATAAATTTCACAAGACACCAGTGAATCATTGCTTGTAATCAGGTTAAGAACTACAAAAAAACACCACAAAAAACTTTTTGTAGTGTTTGTTACATTTGGTCGGCATAAGTAAATGTTAAAATAAAGTAATTATCATACAACATTTTTGAAATGCATAATGAGTATTAAGGGATTTGTAAAGCAAAAAGAAAACAATCCCCTAAAAAACTGTTCTCATTAAAAGCAATGCTAACGTCATACCTTGGAAATCTTTCTGATGATAAACTTAAGAACTACTGTTTTAATATAAAGATTTTTTTACACAGATATTTAGTTAAAAATATTTTTGGCTGAGCTTTTACAGTAATGTTAATGTAATATTAGGTAATGTGTCATCTAACAGAAACTAAAAGGGTAGTACTTTATTTTACAGTCCTGTTTCACATGCACATACTACATACTTGCCATAGTCATCACATAAACGTGGTGATAAGGTACTTTCCTAGAACCAACCTCTAATACCATAAGTGACATTGTACTTTCTTAGTTAAATTAAATTAAAGTACAATACTAACATTATCCCATAGTTATATTGCCAGAATTTTCTACATGTACTAAATTAAATAATCTGATAATGTTAGTAAAAATAATAAGCAAATGTAAGTTCACAGTGAATTCAATATTGGTAACAAATACAACTCAGGATTTTAATAATACCTTTGTAAATGTTGGAAGAAACTTAAATATTGCACTTATTAAAGTATAGTGCACACACCTAAAAATATTGCACAAACATGGACCATTCCTGGTTCGTGTTAACTAATAGAGTTAACTAATATTAAATGGAATAAATAAATATTGCAACAAAAAGATTAGTTTAATTTCAACTTTGTTTTTATTGATTTCAATAATATTACAGAATCCAGCAAACAGTACAGAATGTTAACTTGTAAAATATTTCAGAATGAACTTTCCCACCCCAACATTTGTTAATCAAAAAGTGTAAAGTGAAACACAATACTATAAAAAATACAAACACAAATAATAAAAAAAGATAATAATAAAAAACATTACATTGTATTTTAAATTAGTCATCTTTTCAAAGACATCCAATTTTTATCTATCTGTTTAAAAAGTGACTGAAAGGAAACCCTTAGTTTTTTTTTTTAAGTCTGCTTTAATTTTTCAAGGGCAAGATTATCAGACATTTCCTTTATCCATTGTGCAAGAACAGGTCTTTGGGTATTTTTCCATACCAAAGCTACAACACGTTTAGCTTGTGTAAATCTGAAATCTGTGAGGGTTTTTTTTATGTATGTATATATATATATATATGTGTGTGATAAAGTTTTGGTTCCAAATTAATTTGTTTTCCAGCCATTTCACAGACCACACCATGCACCTCCTGCAGCTCTCCACGCTCGCACATACAGTATAGTGAAACAGAGTTCCAATTTCATCTTTACATTTTGTGCAATAGTCTGGAATATTATGGATAATACAGTAAAATTTTACAGGTGAAAGTCCTCATCATTCATTTGTATTGCAGTATTCTACATCTGGTTTTAATGGTTTGGGTTTTAGCTAAAATACATGCATATTCCTATTCCCTGAGCAGTAATATACTTAAAGGTCTCTTTTCCATGCTGAAAGCTATATATATATATATATATATATATATATATATATATATTATATATATATTAAATCCAGTAATGTCTTATAAAACAAGGATAGCAAACTTATTAGTTATTCTTAAAAAAATAAAAAATAAAAAAACATTTTTGTTAATGAGTTAAGTGCCAAGATAATATTTTAAAAGTTAATTTTGATGTCTTGATCTTGTAATACTATAAGCAATAAGCAAGAGATGAATTGAAAGCAGTGCCATAAACTGAACTCGCCCTACAAGTTAAAGACTAAAGTGCCAGTGTGTGTGTTTCTGTTTATTCTGTGATTCTTCTGATCATATTCTCGAGATAACTCGATGTCTCAGGTGGCCTTTGTGAGACACTAATGGAAATGTTGGCAAACTCCTCAGTTACAGACGTGTGATTTTTTGACGGCCCCGCATGATGCAGCCTGGCGTGTATTAGTCACTGTCAGCTTTAACAATACAGCGCTGATAACGACGGAGGTAACGCTGAAACTGTGCTCGTGGGATCGAGCCCCGCGCGCGCAGAACTAAACAACTCTTTTATTGACATGAATACAGTGCAAAGCAGCTCTGACCGCTGTTATGATCTGCCCAGAAGCGATGCGTAAAGTTTGAGGCGGAATGCGAGCGTTTGACTGCTGTTTGTGTGTGTAGGGAGGCCAGCAGGTGTGTTTTCTCCTGGGTCTAATGTGTTTGATCACGCCAGGCTCCGAGGAACCCACGGACCGTGAGATTATTCGCGTGCAACTGAATAAACATAGATCCTTCCCCGTGGTTTCAAAAAAGCTGAGAACTAGTTCAGAGTTTATCTTTAAGGTGCGAAGCGTTGTTTGTTTTTCATTTACGCAGTGTCATGAAAAAAGCTATGGGAACGTTTAGATGTTTAAACTGATAGTGGACATATATTATAACTTAGCCTATACACCACTTTACAATAAGGTTTAATTAGTTATTATAGTTATAGTTTAAGGTATTTACTTATCCGGGGTGGATTTAATCAATACGCGAAATAAGCAACTGCTTAGGGCCCCAGGAAATTTGAGGGCCCTCAAAAAATACCTACTGTATACAGTGCTGAGCATATATAAGTACACCCCTTACAAATCTTTTTTTTATTCATATTTTAATAGGAAGCTATACAATATTATATTAATGCACATACATTAGATAAGTCAGTACTAAAGCCAAATCTGGAGCTTATCTAACAAAATAACTTATGATAACGGTTCAAAAACTAGTACACCCAAATTTATATCTTATAGAAAAATATTAAATACAAGTTTTAAAAAGAGGAAAAATTAAGAGAAGCAAAAAAATAGAGAAATTTAGTTGAAATTATATTTGTTGTAATTATTTTTTTAGTTTATTTGTACTATCCTTCAATTTCTAAATATGTTTGGTGACTAAAATATATTTTAATAAATATATCTGTTTAATAAATCTGTTTCGTTTAAATGCACAAAATGCATCGCTTCACTGAGAAATGGATAAAAAAATATTTTCAAAATAGGGGTCACTAAATTATGCTGAGCACTGTACACTCTCAGAAATAAAGGTATAAGAGCTGTCACTGGGGTGGTACCTTTTATTTGTACTTTAGGGGATTAATAGTGGTACCTTAAAGGTATGTACAAGCACCTAAAAATTTCAAGAAATACACTTTTAAACTTTTTAGGTACTAATATGTAACCTTAGGGTATTGATAAGGACCCTTTCAGTACAAATATGTACCTTTCGAAAAGGTACCACCTTTATTTCTGAGAGTGTAAAGATTATACACAACATCATTTTTTATGTCATTTATGGTGAGGATCTAACAAAGAAAACTTTAACATCTAAGCAAATTTTTGCTACGCCCATAACCATGGAGTAGTCAAAACAGTTAAAGATTTAGTTTTAAAAACAATTTATTATTTTATTTTTATTATGTTTTATTTATGAATTCATTAAAAAAAACTAATCAGTAAAAATGTGGAGATTTCATTAAATATGGAAAATGAGATATATGAGTGATATAAGAAAAAAAACAGCAAAATAAAAAATTAATAAAACTACAAAAGGTGTTAGGATTGTTGGGCATTTTAGAACTACTTAACTACTGCTTAGGGGCCCCAAATCACTAAACCCACCCCTGTTACTAACATGAACAATGCATTTATAACAGTGGTACTTTTCCTTCAGTATTTTTGTTAATGTTAGTAAATGAAAAAAAAGTTATTCTCACATATTAATCTCAGCATGCTCAACTTTGGACTTTAGAAATAAATGTGTAAATGTTGAGATAGATAGATAGATAGATAGATAGATAGATAGATAGATAGATAGATAGATAGATAGATAGATAGATAGATAGATAGATAGATAGATAGATAGATAGATAGATAGATGTTTCACAATATTTGAAAGTTGTTTTAAGTTATTCAAACAATATTTAATAGGTTATTTAATTTGTTAAAACGTTTCTGTCGATTTTTCGCGTTTATTCTCTTTTTAGTTTGTTGTGCAAAACTTTTTTAAACTTTATTAACGATATTTGTTATAGCAGAAATTCAAGACCAAACTTATGTTTGCTTTTGCACGTTTACTTCTATTTCAAGACACACTGACATCTTAACAGTGCGATGGTTATTTTTATGATAGCTCAGGAAATCGTCGTTTCCTTGTTTTCCCGTTGGGATGACTTCTTGTGTTGCTCGTCCTATTGTTTGCTTCTGTTTTGTAGTGTGGGAGCATTTTCAGAAACAGACAACACTGCACAAAGTAAATAATTTATCACCTTTGGAGCACGTTGAAAGTGGTGCTTGGAAAAGCGTTTAAAGACTGCCTATTTAATTTCGCACTTGCCATTTTCTGCTTTATATTGACAAAATATGTCTTCATGTCGCACAATAACATCAAGCCCGCATTATGCGAAGACAAATAGACGTCATAATCAGGCAATCGGCGTTTCTTTGAGGTAACGCGTTAATAAAGCGCTTCATTAACGCACAGTAATGCTTCAGTCAGTGTATTCAGCATGTGTAGTGTGTTAATTATGGCTTCGATATGTGGAATCTGCTCGTTTGATGGTCTCTTAAAGCAACACAACAATACACACCGATATCAGTGAATATACGCTGATTCAATTACAGCCTTTAGAAAGTGTGAATGCTTTCACACCGGCTTTCCTTCACACTTGCTTTCTAATTTAGTTTTAGACGTGCTGTTTCCTTAAAGCCGGACATGGCGTATACATGCATTTCATTAAGTTGTTTAATTATGGCGTTTAACAACTTGCTTATTATAATTATAATATTATAGACTACAATATAAATAGTCATTAATATAGTGCATAAAAGACGTTTAAAAAGCAGTTTTAAATATAATTGCATAAGACTACAACAATTATCCCATATTTAGGATATCAAATTTTTTTTACAAATACTTAAATATGTTTATAATAATATCTAATATACTTAGTTCATAATATAAAACAATTTATAGCATACTGTATTAGTTTTTGTTTATATACATATTTGTATTACCTGATTTGCTATCATACATATAGGCTAATTTTATATTTTACTTATTTTGATTAAATTTAAATATAAAAATGTGTTTGATTTAAAAAAATACTGTAAATATAAACATAATAAATATACTTTGACACTGGACCACACAGCAACTTTGTTGCCTAAGGCCTTTATCCTAATTTTCTCTGAACAAAATGAAGTAAATAATTGTGACATTTGGTCAAATATTAAATATTGAACAATACAAATGTGGTTTTAAATTGCTGTAATTATTATTTTATCTATTTATATCTATAAAGCGTTTAAATAAGTTGAAAAGTCAAATGTACTTACTTGAAAGCATGAGTTTGGTTGTTCATGACCGCTAGTGGGCGCTGTTGACTGCTGAATGAATCCCTCACGCCTTCAGCAGGCGCTTTCTGTCGACCTCAACCTAAATAAATGCCTTTATTTTAGGATTATTGGCCAGGCGGGATATGGAATCTACCTTTGCATATGCATAGTAACACATATAACCAAATAATTATTTTTTAATAAAGTATGATAAAATAAAGAAAACAAATTGATTACAAATCTAATGCACAATGAATGTAGGTAGTAGGCAATATTGTGTACTCTCTAGTACCTAGTAGTTATTGGTGTTTCTGAAACACATATTCTACCACGAGTTCTCTTTGAAATGCTTAAATGTCATTAATCCCCGGGAACTGAAAACTGGGTTGGCGACCTGAAGTCCGATATATTCTCTCATTGCTCGACCAGTCGCCGTGCGACCGCTTGATTGACAGGTTTCTCTCCTCGACCAAACCTATCCAATGAGAGAGCAGGTGGGAGGAGCGAGCGAAAAACTCGCTCTGACAAATATTCCGCGTGGTAGACGCTCGCAGCTACTTGCAGTACAGACTCGCGCAGAGAACGGAGCAGTCCCGCAATTCACGCGCACAGCATTTCAATCCGGACCTGCAGGGTTCGAGCCGCAGCTGTTCTCTGCTACTGTGCGGGTTCCACGGCGACCAATGAGAACTTTCATTTGACTTCATCGCTTCATTTTTATTTTATTTTTATTTTCAACCATTAGCCATTCTTATTATTTCGCTCCATTCCAATAGGCTACAGTTGTTTCATTCTTGTTCATCTTTTTCCATTCATTTTGGAAACTCCGGTGTGTCCTGTACCCCCTCGTTTGCCTATTCGGAATACCTCGCATTTGGAATTGGTACCTGCTTGGCTTGTTATCCACACCGAGGGATTAACTTCATGTCTCCACGGACATCAAGTACCACGGCGGCGACGACAAGGGTCGCCTTCCTGTGAGGAATGTACGTGCTGCCCACGGCCGGTTGAACGGAGAGGGCTTCACTCAGTCTGTCGTACAGGCTATTTTACCGAATGAGAAACTGCATGCTGTCCGCGGTGCTGCTCTCTCTCATCTCGAGCAGGACTAATAGAGGAGTAGCTCTTCCCACCTGGATGGTTCATTTCTAACCGGGCTCCTATTCAGCATTTTTTATACTTTCTCTCCAGGAACGGGGATATTGAGTTTGGATTGTCACAGCCAGCACTCCACAAGACCTTTTTTTTTTCAAATTAGAAATTCCCGCGAAACGGAATTTGACCGTAACGGTCGTGACGGACCATGGGCGACTCTTTGTGGAGATATTACTTTGGAGTTTTAGTGATCGCGTGCAAGGTGAACCTGTCCCGCGCGCTCATCCTGGACTCCATATACTGGAACACCACGAACACCAAGTAAGTGCGCGAGGCGGCAAAGCTCCGTCAGTCACATCTAACCCTCTCCCACTGCTTTAGAGCGACATTTAGACTCTGAAAGAGGGCGATGTCGGTGAAATAGTGTACACTCAAGCAGGATAAATGAGTTTGTATGGCGACAACTCGTTCATTTAGCATTACTGTAAATAAAAATGATTAGCGTTAGCAGTTGATGTGGATGGAGGCGAGTGACGCGTTGTTTCCAGTCACAGATGTTCAGGAGTTTATGATTAATAATCAAGCCTCCTTTCGCAGTTATCAATAGGTTCTCGTACTAACTATTAAATTTAAGGCAGAAATATGTAATAGTGATGTTAATAATAATAGTTTTGAATGGCCGCACAGGACCTCCAGACAACTCGAGAGGGTTTGTTGGTGCAGTTGTTTCATGATCATGACACGGAATAATGGCGACAAAACAATTGAAGGCATTTATTAAAATTGACTTTCATGGTTATATAGGCAAATATGAAACGCTAATTGTACAAATGTTGGTTGAATGTCCAACAGTCATATTTATTTGGGCGGCGTAAGGTTAGGCCCAAAGTCCTTTTCGTTAACTTACCTCAGAAGTGTTTGTGTGACTCGCCAATCACACCCCTGAGGCAGAATATCAGACACTGGAACAGGTTTTAGATATGTAAGATTTTTATTTAGCTTCGCTGTCTGTTTAATATGCCTCCTGTTTATTCTAGTTTTCAGGCGTGATTAACAATCCTAGGTATTAGAGTAATCGTGTGTAGCATACATTTCCCTTTAAATTTTGATTAATCTCCTAAACAACATTTTTTCCCTAAACATTAAAAGCAGTCGCATCCAAAAGGCGTCTCTGTTTCCCCAGTGACTGTAAAGTCAGTAGTGAAAATGTAAAGATGAGCACAAGCGAAGCACATCGGCGCTGAATCATGCATTAAAACATGGAAACATCAAGTAACGCTGAAATCCGAAGGGGTCTCGTGCCCGCGCGGGAGTCTGGAGCGCTTCTTGCAGAAACTCTATCTGTGCTCGTTTAATAATTCAACTTTCGCTCTCGGCCCGTTTTTTTCATACAGAGAAAGAAACCTTTCTTTTACCCCTGCACGTACGGGGCAAGGGTGCAGATAGTCCGCATAACAGGTGTCCTGTGCTGATAATCGCAGTCTTTTTACGTACAGGTAGTGGAGCGGCTTCTGTGGTCCTTCGGCGCCGTCGCGAGCGTCCTTAAGCACGTTAATTAATAAGAGTGTAATTGATCTAAAAGGCTTTGCTCTTCACAGAATGCGCTGCAGTTGCTTATGTTAGAGGAACTCAAGTCTCTTCAGTTAAGATTTGCTAGATTATGTATTTATTTGTTGAATAATTGATTGAACTTAATAAAATAAATAAATAAAAACAGCTAATAATAAAAATAGCCAATTGCAACAATTGCCTAGGTCTAAATTATTCTACCTTGCATATTATTTTTAAAATTTTACTTTAGAAATATGCGTTGTTCTCACTGAATTTGTTGGAAATTTAGTCGTGAAGGCCAGAAATTAAATAAATAAATAAATAAATGGATGACGTGTTAGATTCAGTTTTGCTGAATGTGCTCGTGACCACCGGCCCACTCCACTTAACCTACTTTTTCATTGCTCTACAATTATTCTTTTAGGTTTTTTAATGTAGTCTAGTGAACTTTAATAATTAAAACTACTAATGTTTTAATCATCTTTCAATATGCCACTTTGATCAATGTGGATGACTGATTAAAAGTCATAAAAAAGTCTTAGACATTATTTACATTTATTTATTACTGAGTTTTAATATATGTACAGTTTATCACATATTTAAAAACAACTTTTCTAGAGTACTATACCTTTTTGTAGCATAACAACAATTTTTTTTTAAAGATTATTATTACTTTGCACACTATTGAAAAACCGTTAAACAAAATGTCTTATCCAGTTTGAGCTGTTAAGAAAATACATCAATAAAAAGTGTGGAAGTAATTTAGATTATTCCCTATATATATATATATATTAGTTAAGTATGCCAAGTTCGTTACACTTTACATTAGCATTTATGTCTCTGGGTAATTATATAGTAGACTAAGTACTGTGTAATGCTATGTAATTAGTTTACAAAGAATTATAATTCACTTGATTTGTAAATGCAACATAGACACTAATTGTGAAGTGTCACCAGCCTGTAGATATCTATTGTGACATCTTCATTAATGGAGACCCAGATGGTCCATGAAATGACCTCTAACGGCGTGCCTCTCCATTGTGTGTCGCTGTAAATATGCAGGCCTCATTCTCCGCCGTTCCACAGAATTACTCAGTGCGCACATTTCTGCCATTCTTTCAGAGCAGTTCGATGTATAGTTCTTCACAGAGCGTGACTAAAGGGTGATGCCACTGATAGCATTCTAAGCGTTGGCGGCTGTATTTTTAACACCTGACAAAACAAACAGAGCAGAACGTCGGGACTTGGCAGGAATCTAGTTTTTTTTTTTTTTTCATGCATTTTGATTTTTTTTGCTGCATCATTTTTTTATGTGAATTCATTTTTCAATAATTGATGAACTGAAGAACCTGACTCACGTCTTGTATCGACTCGGGTTTCATTTTAGAAACACGAACACTCTAACACAAAGTACTATGATTCCAGAGAAATCCCGTAGGTACTATGTTTATGAGTATCGAGCAGCACTATGGGACGTGCCTTCATCTAAAATATCAGTTCTGCATAATGCAAGGAGCGTGCTTAAAATCTACTCGACTCCCTATGGCCTTCTGTACATGAGACAACCGTCACCAACTCCCACAGTACTGAATCATTGAACGAGTGTGTGCGTGCGATAGCTGTTGTTTTTTTCTTCCCGTTTCAAAAATGTGTGTCAGTGTAGTTTGCACTGCTGTTTACCCCTCCACTGCTTTACTTCTGTTGAATCAGGCATGTAAAGACTCTCTCTCACCCCCCTCTTTCGTGTTCTTTCTGGTAATCCATTTTGTGGAAGGTGGAGAAACAAAAGCAGTCTGCTCTACACGTTTTCCGCCAAAGGAGGTTCCCCCTTCTCTTCATTAGGAGATTACATCGCTTAGCAGGGTTCTGATGGGGGCACATCCATGGCTTCATACACATGCAGATACAGCATGAGTGAACGAGAGGACGAGTGGGCCATGAATAATAACTACCCCTTCCCCCCTTCTGCGTCTAGGGGCGCAGGAACTTCATGATAGACTGCTAGCGAAAGGCTGTTATGATTTAGATGCTGAGTTAATCATTTTCCAAATTAGCAGATGGGTGGGATTGCTTCGTCGTCGGGAGAGACAGGGTGTTCGCTGCATCTTAAAAAGTCTTAAATGTCAAAAAATTTAATTTTAGACCTTAAAAAGCCTTAAATTCTCTAAAGTATTGTGTTGTAGGACCTAAATCATTTTAAACCTGTCTTAATTTTTTTTTTCCAAGTAAAGCTACTCAATCGGGTTGACATCCATCCGATGACCAACAATACATCAACAAAATCTTATTTTTTATATTTAAGTTTTGTATTGCAAAGAGACACAATTCACAACAGCTGTTAGACATGCTTTACAGCAAATTCCCAAATTAAATTGTTTTTATTTTTAAATAAATTTAGATTTTTATTATTAATAATAATAATAATTAAAATAAACAGATAAAAAAACTAAATAATGTCCTGTATAAATCTAAAATTTAATTCTTAATAGTCGTTATAAAGTCCTAAAAAGTCTTGCAGAAACACTGGAGAGAGAAGGAGAAGGAACAGACAGAGGAAAAAAGTGTGACGTCTAGCCATTGCAACAAGAGGAATAAAAAAGAAAGTTGATTATTATAATGATATGTGTGTTGCTCTAAAATGTGACGACGAGGTCTTTTGGTATTACACATTGAATAGTTGAGGAAAATCGAGAAGAATGAAGGTATATTGGGTGACAAAGGAATAAGGCGCCTGTCTGGTCGCTTTGGCCTCTCACCCGACATGATGGAGCGATTAAACCTTTAGATGTCTGTTCATTTTATTAGTTCCGCGTCTTTTTTTTGTGTCTTTCTATGCCTGATGAACCTCTTTATTGGTCTGATGATTGAAAGTCAAACAGCTTACGTTTCCTCCACCCATTTGTGCACGTCGCCCTGTGTTGTTTCAGATTTTCGGGTTAAAGCGCTGTGTTCGTATCGGGGCAGGATTAGACTACTGCTGTCAACGTGTCACAGCTCGGCCCACACAGATAGAGATTAACTGGGAGAAGAAGGCTGATGGACGAAGATTCATATGCAAAATCAGCAGTTAAAGAAAGCGAGATATATGAAAACACTGGAGGAGAAAAACTCAACGGTTTTATCAGTTTATCAGGACAGGCTGGTTTTAGTTTTAAGCAAATGATCCTGTACGTTGACCCTTAGAAGTTTTTCAACAAAGGGTCGTTATAAAATATGAAAATAAAAGGTCTTTTTCTTTGACTCATACATTTGACGATACAGCCAGCCCACCTGTTTCTCGACTTCAGTTTTATCGTTTATATTGTGTTTAAGTTGATAGAGAGAGTCTTACAGTCATTACTAGTTTTTAAAATTATATTTTCTCTTTTCTATGGCCAACTTTATTTAAATGACTTCATTTTAAAGTCCTTTTAGAAAAGCTGCCAAAGCTGAATATTTCAATCTGAGTTTCGAGTGAATGAGTCAGTGGGAAGAAGACAAAGAGTAAAGATAAAACAGATGCCTTGTTCGAATAAAAAACAGGGAGAGGGGATAAATGTGGATCACAAATAAAATTACAGAGAAATGTCCTCGAGTGGCATGGCCATGCCTTTTTAGATGTACTGCACATGCCCTGACCATTCGCTCTTACACACAGACACACACACACACACTTTTTTCTGACTTAATGGCTTCTCTGTGTGCAGCTGCAGTCTTGTTAACAGAATGAACGGTCTGTGTTAAACGTGTGCAAACCCTTATTCTGTCATCCTTTTCTTTTTCACATTCACATGTCCCAGAATATTTATGACCACTGGGAGCATCACCAAGGCTAAGGTTGGGGGGTTAAAGTGTGTCTTTTAGACAAGGATTAAAGCCATTTACAAACATGAGTCTGACCTCTGGCTTTATTTGTTCAACTGCCCCCCGTTTTACACCCTGTTCCCTATACTCAAAACTAAAACTAGACTGTTTTAACAGCAGCTCCTGTAAAATACAGACATGTTAAACACCCTTTTAATAGTGGAATGTGTGTGTTGGGCTGTGGGGTGACCTTGTATACCCTGTGGTTTAGGATAATGACTGACTGTGGGCTACAACCAAGTGTATCACAACCGTTATGGTGCGTTTGTCCTATATCTAGCCTGTTTCACTGCTCAATTGTGTTACCCCAGTTAATAGAATTAGCATGTGCAGCCTAAGAACTGCTGGGTGTTTCCAGCCCAAATTTGGGTCAAATATGGACAAAGCCAAACATTTGGTTAAATTATAAAATTACTTTAAAGTAGATTTTACCTTTTACCTTGCTTAGAAACAACTAGGCATGGGACGATAACCATTTTCAAGGTATACTGCGGTTTAGAAAAGTCAAGGTCTTAAAACCGCCAAATTTTATTATACTGTTCCTACAATATATGTTAGACTTTTTTTTACGTTTCCTTTTTTTTTTGCTTTGTTTTTTTAGGACAACAGTATCTCCAGCAGAAAAGATATCCAAAGATGCCCTTTTAAGTTGTAAATAAATCAGTAATTTTGAAATTAGCCTTTTTAATTGTTTAGCCTGACATGTTCACTGTAAATGATTCTCAAAATACATTGTATTATGTTCAATGGGGGGAGAAAGGTTTTGTTTTCTACCTAGACATTTTCTATCTAGACATTTATATATTTTAGAGCAGCCATCACAATACCGTCAAACCGTGATATTTTTATCCAAGGTTATCATACCGTCAGCATCATATACAAGCCCTTGCCTAGAAACAAACTCAGGATTTGTTTACAAAATATAGTTTTCAGCTAAAAATGTCAGACTAATCACCTACAGTAAAAAGGGCAAATTAAAGGAGTACCATAAAATTTGCCATCTGTTTATACAATTTTTGGAACAAAAGCATACAAATAGCACAAGCAAATACCTCTCATGCTACTGGTTAATTGATTCATATGTGTATTTTTGTTTGTAGAATACAGTATATGTTTTTATTTGCCTTAGCCCATGTATAACAACACATTTATCTGTTCAACTGAATTTGGATGCTTTTGGGGAGGGAGGGGGGAAGAGTTAAAATGTTTAAAAAAGTATAAATTCTTGTTAAATTTCAAGTGTTTTTTCTAAAATAAAAAAATGTAAAGAAGTAAAAAAGTCAGACCTTTTAAAAATATGTTCATATTTATTTTCTGTAGCTGATTTTTATGTTTTATTTGATTATTCATACAATAACATGTTCCATTTATTGGCGAGCATCTAAAACAACCATGGCAGACAGGATTGTTGTCTGATAAAAATGAAAAACATTTAGCTTTTTAAGCAGACTATTTTCAGTTGAATGTAATCATTTTATTTAGTTATTTTTTTATGTAATTACAGTTATTTTTGGTGGTTTCATATAGAACCTTTAACATCCATAGAGCATTTCAGTGCTTAACTTTCCAAAATATTAACAACAGTGTTTTAATAAATTGTTATTAATGCCAGTGTTGTTAATACAGTTCTTCTATGGCATCATGTTTTTGTAGTATTTCTATTTTTGTGTAAAAAGACTTTAAAGAAGTATAACATCAGAATTCAAAACGAATTCTGTTATTTCGCTTAACATTTTCCCTTTCCTTTAGGAAAATGCAGTAGATTTGTGTTTTTTTAGTTGTGTGTGTGTAAACTTTTAAGGTGTGAACATGTTTTACTTGGGGAATTTACGAGTCTCGCCCTCTTCTTTTGAACAATCCCAAGGCAAATATTCCAACACAGCACACACATATGCGAGCAAACTGTTCTCGGCTTTTCAAATAAGCTAGCATAGAGATAAGACATAAGCGAGATAGCGATCCAGTGTTCGGCTCGAGAGGATTTGCGTGGCTAGATCTGTCGTACAGATAGTCCTGACAGCTACCCGCTGCACGTCAAACACACACATACACATTGGAGCCGTTTTCCCAGCTACTCCTGTTTTAGTCCCTGGAGGCGCATGGCTGGGAGCGTCGCCTGATGCGAGCTGCTGCGCTTTTCCTGCTTATTTCTCATGACATCACTTCTCTTTGCAGCGCCGCTGTTTGAGTGCTTGGCATCAGAGAGACTATTTGCTTTTATTCTTAAGTATGAGCTGTGAGTCAACACCTTTGTCTGCTTCTCGCTGCTCCATTTTCTTCCCAAAAAAACCCCTGCAAAAAACACTTGCGCATGCAGTTTTAGATCGTCTCGCTTGCTCTCCTCTGTTTTTATGATCCAGCAAGTTGTTCAGAACCTGTTTTATCCTTTATAATCGCAGCTGAATAATTAATCACCCTCTTTTAATTATTGATCAACACCATGCTTCATGATCCATTTTTGATCTAGAGAGAAATGCGAGTTTGATTTATCATCCGCCATGTGTCTGACTCTCTCTTTCTGATTCTTTTTCTCCTGAAGGTTTGTGCCAGGACAGGGTCTGGTGCTGTATCCGCAGATTGGGGATAAGATGGACATAGTTTGCCCACGTGTGGAAGGTGGTTCAATGGAAGGAGTGGAGTATTATAAACTCTATATGGTTCCTCTGGAACAGCTAAAGTCCTGTCAGGTCACAAAAGCAGACACGCCTCTACTCAACTGCGTCAAGCCAGACCAGGACGTCAAATTCACCCTCAAATTCCAGGAGTTCAGCCCAAACCTTTGGGGCCTGGAGTTCTTCAGAGGGAAAGACTACTACATTATCTGTGAGTATGCTATCTGTAAACCACCATTTGCCCCTCTGTTCTGGCCAATTACGTTTGTTTATGTGGTTTCGAGTACCGAGAAATGTTGACATTGCGGCGCGAGCTACATTAGTTATGTTTTAGTGGGTCGTGGTGCAAATAATGACACGTTTATACGACCTGTGTTTGTTTACAACAGCTGGAATGGTTGTTAGTTCCAGAGTTAGACAGACGGAAAGTTTCTGTTTGTGAGTGGCATTGGACCAGTGCAGTGCGTATGTACACAAACACACGACTTCTCGTATTTGCCTCGTATCGTTTTGCATGTGGGTTGAATTTTTTACATTTGCGAGAACAATAACTGCTCACCTGGCTCACCAGGCTCAAAGCAAGCTGTATAAACAGCGGCTGAGGTGGAAGAGGAGTGCAGGGATCTAGCAAATGGAATAAGGCACGCACACACATAAACAGAGGCTGCTTTGAAACACGCCGTCAATCTCATCGCCCAGACCTCAGCCGTCCTCTCCATCTCTCTTACAATGAGAGCTCACTTCCAGCATAAGGAGAAAATCCAATTCGGCAGTTCTGGGAAAATTTGCTTCTCCTTTATTTTGCTCTCTCTCAGGTTCTTTTAAACGACTCTAATTTGTGGAAAGAGAGAAAAAGGAGGTGGAGAAAGAGAAATGAGTTCATTTTGCTGCATTGTAGATGATAATTGCCCTGGTGTACAGCTGGATTTGTCTGTGCGAGTGTGTGTGAAGTGGTAAAGCACAGAGACATATGTCTGCCGCATGTCTGTGTGTGTGTGTGTGTGTGTGTGTGGGGGGGGGGGGGGGGGGGGTGTGATTCGATAAGTCATTAATTAAAAAGTTTTGTCCTAATAGCTCAGTTTAATCACTCTGTCTTTATCAATTGGATCTGCTCAGAAACCAATCAGGTGATTTTGGTCCCTTGTAAATGTGTTCAGCAAGCCAAATGTCTGTATGTGTGTGTGTGCAGGGCTTTTTTCCTCCTCTTTGGCCCAGTAGTTTTTAGATTTATAGTATTTTCTTTCTTCACAGTAATAAGGTAATCAGCCATATATAGAACCATTCAAAAGTCTATAGTACCAAAGTCCCTTTAAGACAAGTAATTTCACTCTGCGGCCATCTTTGTATGCTCGGACATTATGTTTGAATGGGGAAACATCATATTCTCCAGAATTGGTTGCCAAGCTTACCATTAAATTTCATATTAGGAATCACCAATAAAATTAAACAACAACTGCATCTTTAGTTTCATTTCTAAATGTTGGAATCACAAAATCTGCAGAAACTCACGTCTCGTCCGAACCCCTCCCCTGGAGAATCGTCAGTTTATATTGATTGCTGATTGGCTCATGAACTAGAAGGCGGGGCTTCATTCGCCATATTGGCTGTTACACTTTTCCCTGTTCAAAACAATACAATTGACATGTCTTGTGTATTCTACAGTAGGGATGTCATGATACCATTAATTGTTCTTACAATACTATACCAGCGGAAGTTTCACTATACCAGGTAGTATTGCAGTACTTTATTTTATATCTCAAATTCTAAAGAAAATAGTCAGAAATACTATATTTTATGTTCTAATAGGCCTACTTGAATTTTATTCAGAATTCCCTTCAAGCCAAAACGTATTATTTGCACCTTACTTCACCTAAGATTTATTAATTATTTTTGTTTATTTTGTAGATAACTGGCCAACAAAAAAAAAAAATTAAAATAAAGATACCAATTATACTGAATGAAATTTTTACAAAAGAGCACTTTTTGCCAACACAATTAGGCTATATGAAGTGGTCAAGAATTGTTTTAATGTTTCCTGCTAATTTGGGTTTTTTATCTATTTTATTTTTCAGTCTTATCAGTTAACGATCCAAAGTAATTACAAATTTCCCGTTGTGAGTCATTCTTTTTAAGAGATTGTCGCAGATGTTGTAGCTACTAAATCATATTGACAGGACAGAAATGAACCAGTTCATATGTGCGTTCAAATAAAGCATTAGAAAACGTGCAATAGGCTGCCATAAAAGGCATGAATTCTACACACTTTTGCAACCTTAAAGGGCTGCACAGACTATTAAAATAAAATGGTCTATTGTTGCACAAACATGTAAGCATTTTAGTGACTTTGCCACATGTAACATTATCTATTGTGGATAATGACAACACTACTTTTTACAAACTACAGTGGCACTCCCAGTATTTTGGAGCCAAGGTATCGCGATACTACCATAGTACCGGTAAACCGCGCAACCCTATTCTACAGTCTTTGAAAGCACTTAGTAAGTATTTGTTTAGTTTTTAAATTAATACTTCCATTCAGTAATGACACATTATTGACATTAAAAAAGACAGAAAACCTTCTGTGTTGTTAAAATAAACAAAATTAATTAAAGCTTTTAAAACTATTCATCAAAGAACCTGAAAATAAAATTATAGTTTCCAAAATGTATAAAGCATCATGACTCTGATAATCATTTCTTGATCACCTAATCCTTATTTTAGAACAATTAATTAAGGATCATCACAGAAATAAAATGTATTTCAAATAAAAAATAAAATAAACACATTCGGTTTAGTCCCTTTATTCATCAGCGGTCGCCACAGCGGAATGAACCACCAAAATAGATGCATAGTTAGTTCAAATTGTAATCCTATTTGTTTTATTTATGATCACTGCTGTCTAAACATAAAGATAAAGATAACATGGAGCTGAACATAATTAAAAATGTAAAAAAATAAAATAAATCATAATTACTGACAGATGAATAGAAATATACTTTCACCCTTGCAAAATATGTACGTGACACAAACATGCAGTCAGCTGACCTACAACTGACACTGACCTCAGGTCATCGTCTATCTTTATTGCGTTATTGTTGAGCCCTGGTGTGTGTTTGTGCGTCTCAAACTCTCAAAAGTCTCCTCTATTGTTCATCTGCAGCCTAATGCTGATGACTCTGATATGATTGTGTTTGTGTGCGAGTGTGTGAATATGAGCTTGATGTGATCTGGTCTGACAGATTGCCCTCAAGCTGGGAGCCAGAAGAGAGATACATGATCTAAATATGGCTAAGAGAGACAGAGAAAGAGAGAGAGAGAGAACAGGAATGTTTCATAAGAAAAGAAACAACACAGCCTGCAAAAAGATGTGATAATTCAATAAAGCACAAACATCTATGTAAATCTTGGAGGTGCGCTTAGTAATTTTGTCCCCAAAGAATGGAATAATAGTTTGTTAGTAATAGAAAAGCGAGTAGAATTTAAAATAGGTGATTTTGAGTGATATTTCCATCTGCTGGTGTAATTATTGTTTCATAAGTTGCAATTTTAGACTGTCTGTGAATGGTTATTCTCGAAGAAAATCCATTGTCTAAATTGAATATAACAGTAGGAAAGTTTTGTGTGTCATGGGACTGGCAGAAACATTATACGAGTTGCCGTTTCAGAGAGAAAGAATTTTTACAAATCATTTTTTAAAGTCTTCCTCATACTGACAGATGATGAAAAATTAAAACAATGCCCCTTAGCTTCTGGTTACGTAACGTCGTGCCGTTGCCTGAGGGAGAATGTGTCAGCAGACACTACCAATAATGAACATTTATTAATGATAAGTGTGAAATGACTTATGACATTAAATCATACATCGAGTTTGCAATCTATCCTGGTTTTAATCTTTTAACATTCCTTTTTCATTTCATTAGTCTTCCCTTTTGTCATTTCTGTGCTATGTAGGGTTTGGCAATATTATAAATGTTAGACAATCGTGGCAGCATCATCGACTTTGAGAGAGAGATAGAGAGAGAGACGTGAAGAGAGAGACTTGTTTTTTTGGCTCTTTTCAAAGACACTGAGGGCTTTTTGAGGTGCCGTGCCATATCTTATTAGAGTAGATGTGCAATGTTTGTGTGTCAGCTCTCATTACTGGCCTGAGTGCAGTTCCCCAGTGACCCTGACGCCATGTTGATCAGGTCAAACTCCACAACAACAGCTACAGCTCATCACTACTCTTAATCATATTCAAATAGATGCACTGCTGTACTTCAAAATAATAATGTATAATATAAAAAATTAAATATATAATAAATAATAATAATAGTAATCATTATTATTATTAATATTTTTGTATATTTGTTATTGTGTTATATATTTAATATTACTAACGTACAGCTGCTTGAATCTGGATATAAGTTAACGTTTAAATGTAATCACATTCAAGTAAATGCATCGCAACTTTAAAATAATAGTAATAATAATAATAGTAATTATTATGATTATTATTTTTTTTTTTGTATATTTGTCATCACTAAATTACTAAAGTTTTATTTTATATATACAGCTACTTGAATCTAAATATATGAATGCAAGTTTAAGTGTAATACTATGCAAATGTTTGTAAATACTTGGTGCCAACTGCACAGTGTCATTTTCTGGTCCTGTCTCAATGGTTGGCCTTTTGTCATGGCAGGACTTTACATACCCTGCAGCCTGTTTGAGCTTGATAGGGTTTCACTAAGCAGGTACGAGTGTCAGTGTTGGGTGTTTAATGACCTCCTGCAACTCACCGATACATTTATCTAGTTCAAAATCAGGACACAAACCTTTTTACAGCTGTATAGAAAATATATTTACAGCAAACAATTTTGTGTTTAATAGACGTCTAATAGATATCTAAACGTAGACAGCTTGGCTAAAACAAGGCTTAACTTGGGGCTGTCAATAAAAATCTAATAGATATCTAAGAATAGCCTAAAACTAGACTAGTGGTCAAATAGACAGATTTTATATGTGTAGTCATTCATTTCTGTTTATTTGATGACCAGTCTAGTTTTAGCCTATTCTTAGATGTCTATAAGATTTTCACTGACAGCCCAAATTTAGCCTTGATTTAGCCAAGACGACTGAGGTTAGATGTCTAGACATCTCCTAGACATCTTTTACAAACACAAAATGCTCGCTGGGATATGTATTGTGGGATATAAAAATGATATATATGTAAATTTATAATCGACTATTTATTTGTTTATATACAGTTTTTTCCATTTTAGCTTTATGGTTTTAGTTAACTGTAATAACCCTTTTAGAGTCTTTCAAAAAACGTACATTTTATTTCGGGCTGCACGATATTGGAAAAACTGACATTGCAATATTTTACTTTTAAATGATATATATTTTGATACTGAATAATTTTACCAGATAAAATAAATAGCTCTATTTGTAAATGTAATTTTCTATACATTGTGATGATTTTGTAAGATATATGTACAAATAAAATATACAATGGTTTAAGATTTTCTGGAAATCTACCAATATTCAGATACACAAATTTAATAGTAAAATGTCAATCATGTTCATCATATATATATAAAAACTCCAAAAACTCAATTAATCTTTCTTAAAATTAGAAACTGTATTTCTTATGCCTGAATTTTTTAAACAGATTTTAATTATAAAATCACACTTGAATTTTTTGGTAACTTTACAGTTAAACATTGCAATAACTCCACAAATCATGAGTGTTTTCAAATGTGACCACTGGTCAATCATAACACTGGTTTGACTTTGCAGATCCTTAGACCTATCACCATAATCAATATATCGACTTATCGCACAACACATGGACATGTCCTCAATAAATTTTGTTGATGCAATATATATCGCCCACACATAAAAACCTAATCTTACCACATTTTAGCTGATTGCTATACTATATATAGTAAATTACTATAAATTACTATAGTATATTTTTATGGGGGTGCCTGACAACTAAAAATAGATCTGTTACTTTTTTCTCTAGTTCTTTTTAGTTTGCACCTTTTTGTTAATATTTATTATTATTATTATTATTATTATTATTATTATTATTATTATTATTTATTTGTTTTGGATATGCGTACACTGTAAAAAAAAAAATCTGCAATTTTACGGCAGCTTTAAGCTTTAAGCTTTTTTTTAAGCTTTAAAATTTCTGGCAGCTTAAAAAATTTACTGTAAAATAACAGAGCTTGAATTACAAAAAATTACCAGAAATTAAAATTTAAGTACATTTGTGTAATATATTGTCCATTATTTTACAGTAAATTTCTGTAATTTAACAGCTGTTATCTTATTGTTTTTTTCCGGCACCCCAGCTGCCTGAAATAAACCATAAAAATTTCAGACTTTTTGCAGTATATATTTCACGTTCTGTTTCCAATGTCTAATTATTAAATTGTTGAAATGACTATAATTGACTATAATTGCATGAAATATTCTTAAGAATAAAATATTGTGTTCTCTGAAAGAGGGTACTTGCATTATGATGCTATTATAGTGTAAAAAATGGTCTTAAAATGACGACAAAACTATTTATCGCAACACATTTGGGTGCTATATATCGTACCACAAAAAATAGATATCGTAAGAGACCTACAGATTCTGCGATGTAACTATAACATATGCGTATATTGCGATATCGATTCTGAAATGATACATTGTGCATCCCTGATTTATATTACTTTTAATTTATTTATGAACTATTTTCCAACTGAAGTATGATTAGATCTGACTGCGTGCTGCCTCTATTGGTTACAACTCTCCTGTGAAGAAGTGCTTCGAAAGTATCTCCGTTTCCTAATCAGCTTTCAAACAGTCACTGATACTAAAACTAAATGTTATGCAGCATTGTGTATTCTGTTGACCTGGAATTTGAGCTCATCATGTGATAATTGTTTATTGATGTTTTTATGCTTTAGTCTGTGTGTGTGTGTGGTTGTGTAGGCTCATTTGCTTGATTTATGAAATGAACGCACTGAAAGGAACGCAAGCTTTTAAGGAGCTTTACATGTAATGAGCTTGTGTTCTTCTCAACACTAAAAAGCCACAGGTCAGCGAACCAACAGAGAGTCAGATGGTGTCATGCTGCAAGCCTTACAAACAGATAAAGGGAAAAAAGTTGAATCAGAAAGAGCCGTCACATGGCACACACATAAACTCACACACACTCCATCCGCTTCATCAAAGTGGCAGCACTGGGGGGAAGAAAAAAAGTGATGATGGGGCGACAGGCGCCTCATAGACTCCAAAATCACCACGGCCCTCCCCTGTCCTCTCTCTCTTTCTCTGAATGCAGGCCACATTGTTCTGGACGCTGACCAGACGTTAAGCCCTTGGCAGCTCGTTAGCTCTGTGTTACTGACCCAATAGACCGCAAGCCTGCCGGGCGCGGACACACACACATCCACGCGCACATACACACATACACGACATAGCTGCATTGTTTGGGTTAAAAGCCTGCTTGGGAGCAATTTTTTGTTTTTAATAGATGTCTAATAGATGTCTAATAGACATCTAAACATAGTCATTCATTTTCTTTTTGGCTTAGTCCCTTTATTAACCAGGGGTCGCAACAGCAGAATGAACCACAATCTAGACATAGTCGCTTTGGTTAAATCAAGGTTAAATTTGATCTGTCTGTGAAAATCTAATTGACATCTAAGAATAGGCCAAAGCTAGACCGGTCATCAAATAAACAGAAATGAATGACTACACATATAAAGTCTGTCTATTTGACCACTAGTCTAGTTTTGGGCTATTCTTAGATATCTATTAGATTTTTACTGACAGCCAGATTTTAGCCTTGTTCTAGCCAAGCTGTCTACGTTTAGATGTCTATTAGACGCCTATTAAACACAAAATTGTTTGCTGGGATTGGACCAGTGGCTAGAATACCGCCGATAGTTTTTTTTAGTGGCAAATAATGACATAAAACATTGCTTAATTCGATTTTATTTCCGCATATTGTAATTGAGAGTAGCACAAATAAAAGTAGTTTTCACAGTTTTGCAGCAAGTCCGACATCTGTTCAAAAAATGGAGGACTATATTGTTTATTTTTAATTATTTAGTCTATTTTGTTCTCACTCGCTTGTTTCTTGACAAACATCTGCTGTGGCTAAAGCGTTACGCGCTCTTAAACATGCTCCAAACCTCACATTCATTAATAGCACTCTCTCTCGCTCTCTTCTATGCCTTATTCACTAAATTATTAACAACTGCGCCTTGTGCTGGAGGCCTTTGCCTTGCTGGTGAACAAAATCAGCTTTTTATTATTCCTTTAATCCGCCTTTTTTCCTATTGAATTGTTAAAGAGCAACAGCACACTTTCAGTGGGGGTCTTGAACATTTCGTCTTGCAACACCAAAACAAACACAATTTTGGCCTGCGCTGCAAAGCTGAGTTCGAAAATGGCAGTTTTGGGACTACTAAAAGTTTAGTTACATGATTTATGATGGTTGAGCAAAGAGACTCGACTGTTTTATATGGCGGTATGAATATTCATTGGTTATTTAAAAATTGCAGTTACATCATCTGATAGCTTGTATCGCCTTTGATCAACCCCAGTTATGCATTTGCAAATATACACTCATTGGCCACTTTATTAGGTACACCTACTAGAACCGGGTTGAAGCCGATTTTGCCTTCAGAACTGCCTTAATCATCCGTGGCAACGATGGCATAGATTCAACAAGGCACTGGAAATATTCCTCAGAGATTATGGTTGTCTTCTGCTGCTGTAGCCCATCTGCGTCAAGGTTGGATGTGTCGAACTAGTCTAGCCACTCCTCTGACCTCTGGCATTAACAAGACATTTGTACCCACAAAACTGCTACTCACTAGATATTTTCTCTTTTTCGGATGATTCTCTGTAAACCCTAGAGATGGTTGTGCGTGAAAATCCCAGTAGACCAGCGATTTCTGAAATACTCAGACCAGCCTGTCAGGCACTAACAACCATGCCACATTCAAAGTCACTTAAATCACCTTTCTTCCTCATTCTGATGTTCGGTGTGAACTGCAGCAGATCATCTTGACCATGTCTACATGCCTAAATGCATTGAGTTGCTGCCATGTGATTGGCTAATTAGAAACTTGCATTAACAAGCAGTTGTACCTAATAAAGTGGCCTGGGAGTGTAATAACAGCACATGTTGATAGTATGTATGTTAAAATTATTGCTTTTCTCTTTCAGCTACATCTAATGGAACAATGGAAGGGCTGGATAATCAGGAAGGAGGGGTGTGTAAAACCAAGTCGATGAAAATCATCATGAAGGTTGGACAAAGTGAGTATTATTTTCACCCTGCTTTTTTGTGTATGCGAGAAGCTATTAAGTGTTTTACTCTGGCCGTGAGGGTGTAGAACAATAGCAAAGCACTTCGAACCTGATGCAGAGCCTGCACTGTAATTATTAATGATTATTCATAAATCACCTCACCAGTGGCATCTCTAGTAATTAACATAAGCCACACCCACCAACACGAGCCACTGAGTTTCTGGCTCTCTTACGAATATACAGACACATGCTGAAGGTCACTAGATTAATCATGGAAGCTTGTGTTTTAATGACGAATACACACACACATGCACACACACAGACATTCACGGCTGCTATCAGTCACACACGAACACTTTTATTTCGCTGAGCAGCGTGAAAGTAATAGCTCTCCACATGAAAATGCGTACATATATCAGAGTGATGAATGCGTTTCTTATCTGTGTTTTGCAGACCCCTCTGATCCCATTTCCCCCAAAGACTACCCTACCAGTTACCCTCCCAAACACCCTGACTTAGGGGGCAAGGACAGCAAATCGAATGAAGTACTTAAGCCAGGTACGTCACTCACTTTATCACCTCACACACCTTTAAGGGGACGCTTTCTGATTCATCAGTCTCTCTGCCGTTGCATTGGTTTTTTGCTGAGCAAGTGCCAGTCCTCTGTCACAACGGCATGCACACTGATTCGTTCTCATAAAATCCGTCTGACAAGCAAACCATTAATGTGACAGAGCAAGACGGACGTGCTGGAATGCATTCGTTTGTAGAAGTCAACTTCTTCTCCCTCTGTGTAGAAACATATGGACATCAGAGTCTTAGGTGTAATAATGCACTTGTACTACAGCCTTAGTGTGAGTGTGAGCTGCTCATCTGCTCTGCCAACCCAGAGACGAAGTCAGTGAAGTCCAAAATCCAAAGGTCACCCTGTCCGCAGCTTTACATGTCTGTTTCGGAGATGATATCTATCCTTAATACGCAATTTGGAGAGTTCAAAATGTCACTCAGAAAGCTAACGATTTCAACAAGCGCATAACTAATTCATTTAAGCTATTTAAATGAAGGCAGTTCTTAATAAAGAAAATCTTTCTTTCCTCTACTGCACTTCTGCACAAGCTTTGTACTCCGGTTTCGTCTTGAAATTTGTTTTTCACAGCACTGCTAATACCGTCGGCTCTTTTATGATCAATCGCTTGTGCTTTCTCTCCTTTGGATAAAAGCATCTACCAAATAAATACATGTAAATTTATTTCACCATACATAAAAGACGTTTCATTTAGTGTCAAGGCATCTTTTTAATTACTCAAGAGCGTGCCAGTTCCTGTTTCTCGTCTAAAGGCACGTTCACACCAATGAACGATTATTTTGTGTGTGTGCGCTCTGCAGTTTTGTCATCTACCGCTCTAAATATTTTAGTTCAGTGGTCCTCAGTCTTTTTCTCACCATGGACCGGTCAACGCTTGACAATTTTACTGCAGACCGGGGGTAGTAGGGGTGCGGGGAGGTTTGCAGGTTGCTAGGCAACCATCAACCGTTTTCTCAAAAGATGACAAGCTGACAACATTGCTGCCACTCTGATGCAAGTTTTATTTATGAAGGAAACTACAAAGCACTGCAGTGTTTAAGTGTTCTATGTTTGTCTGAGATAATTAGTCTATCGTAATTTTTGTCACGTGACTCATGGTGCGCTTACGGGGTTCATTCAACTGTGTGGTTCTGGAAGGCACAACCGTGTTACGCCACTTCTGCTCACAAGCCGCACACCTCCATTGGAAACAACTAACTTGTGCAAACTCTAGAAAAGACACTATATACGAATGGCCCCTAAAAGGCCGCTGTCATTTGCGATCTCCATCAGTTGATCTTCTTGCAAAGACATGGTGAATTCACCTGATTTGTTGACAAACGGGTTGCTGATCCATTCCTTTGCAGTACGTGGGTCCTTCACTGGGCCTTTTTCCTTTCGCAAAGAAACCTTCCAAAGACGTCGATTTCTTACTAATTTTGCTGCTTGTGGGTTAAATTTGGTTGCTCAACTAACCAAGATTCAATTCAATTCAATTCAATTCAGCTTTATTTGTATAGCGCTTTTACAATGTAGATTGTGTCAAAGCAGCTTCACATAAATAGTCATAGTAACTGGAACAGTGTGGTTCAGTAACTGAAACAGTGTAGTTCAGTGTAGTTCAAGATGTAACAGAAAGAATGGAGTAAATAAAAGATCGTTCAGACTCAGATAATAAAAAAAAGGAAAAATAATTAATGATTTCTTGTGCAGCCCGGTACCAACTTATCCACAGACTGGTACCGGTTCGCAGCCCGGTGGTTGAGGACCACTACTCTAGTTCTTTTGTTAATTTCTCTTTTTTTTCCCTCTCTTAGATGCATCTCCTCATGGGGAAGATAAGGGAGATGGAAATAAATCCTCATCAGTCATTGGCTCAGAGGTGGCCCTGTTTGCCTGCATCGCCTCAGCAAGCGTCATCGTCATCATCATAATCATCATGCTAGTTTTCCTTCTCCTGAAGTATCGACGACGTCATCGCAAACACTCTCCTCAACACGCCACCACGTTGTCACTCAGCACATTAGCCACGCCCAAGAGGGGCGGCAGCGGCGGCAACAACAACGGCTCAGAGCCGAGCGACATCATCATCCCACTGCGGACTGCTGACAGCGTCTTCTGCCCGCATTATGAGAAAGTGAGCGGCGATTACGGACACCCTGTTTACATCGTACAGGAAATGCCGCCACAGAGCCCAGCAAACATCTATTACAAGGTGTGAAAATGGACACGCTATTTTTTCCCGGACATTTTAACTCTAACCCCTCACATGCCCCTCGATGAACCCCCAGTTGGCGGCATCGATGCCTGAGCTCACCCTCGTTCTGCCCCCTCTTATTTTATTTTGTTGTTCTTGTTTATTTTACATTATTACTCTCAGTATAGATGTTGCTGATGGTGGAGTAACACTCCTGATTCGCTGCTCTTGCACCTGCAAAAACGAGACAAACTAATAGACAAATGACAAAAATGGAAACCCTCCGGGGGGACTGATGTGCACTATAATGGATACTATAGTGTGTGTACGAGGAAGCGTGTGTGAACGAACGGGGGAGAGGGGGGTTGAGAGGGTGGGCACGAAAAGAGAGGCCAAGAAAACGATTCTTCCTCTTTTTTTCCACTACATCATCTCCCTTAAGGACACAACATGCGGAGATGAAGAGAAGCGGCGTGTATCACACAACCACAAATAAGAACTTGAGCTGTTTATTTAGCTCGGCCGATCGGCTGATCCGTCACAAAACAGGAAGTGAACACAGCCCATTGGTTAGAGGAAGTGGATTTATTGAGGATGCTCTCCGGAGCGTAATGTTGGACATTTGAATGGACATCATCTGTTTTTGCACGTTCACTCGTACTGTTTTCATTTACGTTAGCTCTCCTCATTTGCTCACCTCTACAAAACGGCTCACCATGTTTTACTTGAAGTCTTTTTGTATGGTCATTCGTCTTACTTGCATTTCTTTCTGTCATTCCCAGTGCAGTCCACTTTGCAGATTTGTTTGGTAGAAGATTAATAGGTATCGTCATAGATATCCTTTTGTGCTGGTTTATGTGCCGTTTAGTAGCGTGGAAGACACACACACACTCACAAACACATTTCATTGCATTTCACATACATCCGCTGCCGAGGCTGGAAAAACGAGACATAATGAGAGAACGTCAATATTTGGTACAGTTGCTGTCCTGTTAACAGCTGGGAAGGTGGAGGACTCACATGAACACTTTAGCAGCACTTTGAAAGCCTCAACACCTTGCCCGATGGAGTAAAAATGCATCAAAACAGACAGAGATAGTAGGGAGCGAATTGCTCAAGATTTATTAGCAAAATTGGTCATTTTTGACACAAAATGGCCGCCTTTCCCAGCCATGTTGCTGCAGAGGTTCCTGTTTTTCTAGTATTGCTGCCATCACAAACATACACTCGTTCACCGGTGGCCAGTGGAAAAGAGCTCTATTTTTTTGCTCAGAAGCACAGGGACATGGAATAATATCCCGATTCTTTAGTTTTGAATGAAACAAGATTTCATTAGCCTTTCCTTATGGATTCGTCGAGCTCTCTATATGAAAAATGATTGCACATAGAACCCATTTTTATGATAGCATGCAGACAGGTCAGTGTGAAACAGCAAGAATATGAATAATTTATGGCCAATCTGCACATTATGCAACTTTCTTTTTCGTTTACAGATATTCCTCCACCTCGCCATTTGCCTTTTTCCATCGATCCCGACACGAATAGCTGCCTTTCGACCACAAACAAACACACATATACATACCCGCACAAAAAAGCACATGCGCTCATGGCCAGGGAAGGGGCGGCTTGGGAAGGAGCCCTCAGGGAAAACAGCATGTTGGGTTTTAAAATAGCCGAAAGGAATGAGAGGGAAGGGCCAGAAACGGACCAAAGGAAGGGCACGTCTAACAGAGTCCTGACTAAACCAACTTCTCCAGCCTGCCTGTCTCAGTTGATGAAGCTCAGATGTGCTCTGAGTTGAAATTAGGCCCCTTAATCTGGAAGGAAAGCAGTAGACGTGGGTTAGCAAGCATACCAGATGAGAACGAGCAGAGGCTAAATGTAGTAAATTGCATGAAATGGGATCTTTCGGGCTCAAATTGTGGGAGGTTTCTGGAGGGGAAAACCAAAAAAAGAAGAAGAGAAAAACACATTATGATCGATGGAGGTCACAAGTGGACCTAGCTTGCGCTTTAGAGAGGAAGTCACCAAGCAGAGGCCAGCGTATCCCATAACCAGCAACTCCCAGAAGATTTACGTGTGTCGTTATTTGTGAGCAATGCCAGCCTGTAGATGGTCAAACCCATTTGTTTTTTTGTTTTTCTCACATTAAAATCGCTCACCTACGGTGGACTTTGAGAGATGTCCACTGGCTGACTGTGGACTTCCACAGTGGCACATTACCTGTTCATCCATATTGTTTTCACTTGTTCATGGAGGTTCTTGAATCTCACCGAGAAGCCAAGCCTTGTGTGATCGGAGCTTTGTGCCTCTGTAAGAGGCCACAAAATCTGCAAATATGCAATTTTTATTTATTTTTATAACAATTGAGAAAAAAAAAGATGATATACGTTCACCTATGGAAAAGTGTTCTTAACCACTGAAAATTAAATGATACAATACAGCATACGAAAACACTACAACCCCGGTGTGTTATTATTATTATTATTATTACTTTATTTTTTACTTTGTGCTGTAGGTTCGAGGTAAACTGTGAAACATGAACACTTTTACACACACACACACTTACATACATATTGAAGACTGAGCAGTTTTAAACTCTAAAACACACACACACACAAACATACATACACACACAGATACTACAAAAAACTACAAACATGTTGCTGTTTGGTTGCTGTCCCATATGGGCTAAATATGACAATCTCCTTAGTTTCTTCGAATCCGAAGACACTTTCCCGGCAAGCAGGTTGCAAACGTTCCCGTAACATTTTAGGAGCGGTAGGACTTAACTAGTAGCGTAAGATGTTGCACCGATGTGGGCGGAAGGTTTGCGCAAAAGCAGGGACAAGTGTCTTCGGGCCACTGTAAAATGCCTTGCTTGTATGGTCACCCTGAGTTCACAAGACTCTAGTTTTTGCACCGTACATCTGTAGGTAAGAGGCTGTAAATATGTTATTGTTTGTATTGTATATGGATCCCCGGTTGTTACGATAGCCTTATTCTCACATTTCTAGCAAATAAAAAAAAAGTTAAGGAAAAAAAAACATGAATCACTTCAGTTAAGAGAGCATACTAATTTTTTTGGTAAATAACTTGTGTAAATATTGACGACGAACCCAATAAATCGTTTTTTATAAACTCTTAAGTAAGATGTTTTGTATAGAATTGGAATTTTTTGCTATGTATTTTAGCTAGCACTCGTCAGACCCCTCCCACTCAACCCTTTTGCACTGTTCCCAATGGCGATCTGGTATAAAAATGAAAATGAGATAGAGAATTGCCAAACTGACTGCTTGCTGCATATTTGTGCCATACGTGTGTACCATAGATATTTATTTAATTAGTTCTTTTCGTTTCTTCTTTGTTTGTTTCTGTTGGATTTTTTTCTACCCATTTTGTACGCAACCTCAGTATTACCATTTGAGTTTTTATCCCCCCGACCTCTCCATCTCCTGTAATCTTTCTGTTGATATCGTTTCCCGATGCGCCCGTTTTCTCTCGCAGTAAGATCTGGTCAGGACGTGCAAACCTTATACAAGTCATAGAAATGAAATGGCACACATTCCACCAGTCTGTTACAAACTGAAAATGTTTTTCAATAAAATGTTTTTCCTATGGAACTTTCACTTCTCCTTTATGTTTATTCCATTGGGCTTTGTCCATTTATAATTACGCCAAATCTCCTACCATAAACGTTGGCTGTGATTCATGAATGAAAGCCTGCCCAGACACATTTGAGCCTGGTTCACAAGTTGTTAACAATATTCTTGTTCAGCTTTTGATCGTTCTGCTTAACCACAAACATACTAAAGTCTAGAGGGCTTCATGTGCTCAAGTATTACCATCAGGCTAGGCATGAGTATCAACTTGACTCTGATTCATTTGGGCATGTTTTCAATAGTATTAATGTATCACTTGACTGAAAATTATAAATCCAGAAACTCCAGTTAAAAAGACTATATTAATTGTGTGCATTTTTCTAGTACACCTGTATTTGTATAGCACTTTTCACAATAAATATTGTTCGAAAGCAGCTTTGCAAAAGGTGTTATTAGTTTATCATATTACAGTTAATCTTAAGTGATAAAATATAACATACTTTTTCAAAAAGGTGATTTTCTGTTTTTGTAATTGAGTATTTTGAAACTATTTAAAACTGATGAATGAATACTTTACAAACTATCCATTGTTATGTGACATGAGCAGGGCCAGACAGAATCTGCTACATTTTTTGCTGTTTCTTTGCAGAAAGTTGTAAAATATCTGCAGATTTATGCAGAATGATTTTGAGAGTCTATAAACTATATAAAAAAATAAAACATTTTAATTATTTAAACACTTTTATGTAAGGTTTACAATGCAAATCCAATTAGATCTACTTGTTTGGTAGATCTAGAAGCAAGTCTCTCAAATAATAAATGTACTTAATGACAGAAAAAAATTACTTTACAAACTTTATTGGAAATACTTCTATGAATTTGCATATTATTCAATAGTATTACTGAAATTAATATAAACACTGAAGAATTATGTACACACATTTGCATAAGTAAATAAATAGACTCGATGGCCTGAAAAATTTGGAAATCTGCGATTACTGCACATGTACATTCTGTGTGGGCCTAAATATGAGTTATTCATTCATTATTAGGACACATTTTAATTCATAAGAAAGGTAAAACGGTTGTAAATTGGACCACATTGGTTTAGCTGTACATATAAAATACACTTTAAAGCATGGGGTCATAAGACATGTTCAAGAATCGAACTTCAAGGGCTACTCAGTATATTTTTGATTTACAAAAATAGCCAGTTCCCAAAAAAAAAAAAAAAAAAGGACTACACTGGATGCACGGTATATGTCAAATTAATTAAAAGAAATACAGCTTCTGTGGTCAGGATTGAAAATATATTTAGACCGCTTTAAGGTTTATGAGTCGTGTTCATGAATCGAACCATGCAGTATGTTTTTGATTCACTAAACATTACATTGTAAACGAGTTCAAGAAATGGGGAATAGT